GGGGGGGGACACTGACCAAAGATGCCAAATGATTTTAACAGTTGTCGACCACCAGCAGTCCAACACAACCAATGTGGGGAGAAAATAAACACATCACAGGGTAGCGCGTGGTATAATACCAGCAGCTTGCTTTGATGTGTACAGTAGAGTCGTATATAGCACTGGTACATATAGGTATTACAACTCATACACTGTAGCTAATCTGCTTTCTATTTAACAAAGTTGGTGCAGTGTTAATTAAATGATGGACTGCAGTGTTTAACTTTAATCTTGCAAAGTTATTTATCAATTTTTTGAGGAGCATTTTCTCGACAAGTTTTCACACTTGTAAAGCTCTATTGTCATATACAAATATTGTTACCCCTAGCAGATATACGAATATTGTTACCCCTAGCAGATATACGAATATTGTTACCCCTAGCAGATATAGAAATGTTGTTACCCCTAGCAGATATACAAATATTGTTAACCCTAGCAGATATAGAAATGTTGTTACCCCTAGCAGATATACGAATATTGCTACCCCTAGCAGATATATGAATATTGTTACCCCTATCAGATATAGAAATGTTGTTTCCCCTAGCCAATATAGAAATGATGTTACCCCTAGCCGATATAGAAATGTTGTTGCCCCTAGCAGATATAGAAATGTTGTTACCCCTAGCAGATATAGAAATGTTGTTACCCCTAGCCGATATAGAAATGTTGTTACCCCTAGCCAATATAGAAATGATGTTACCCCTACCAGTGAGGTATGGTTAAGCACCTGATGTAGTGTAAGTAATTACAATAGACATTTTCCTTTGTACGGTAAACCAGACAGTGTAATGTGTAGGTCTAGTTAGGAATTGGAAATAACCTGATCAGGGTATATAAAATGTCCCCTAAAACTTGATCAGGGTATATAAAATCTCCCTTAAAACTTGATATGTCTTAAGAAAAGAAACGTTAAACTTCAATTTGAATTATTGATTTGAAACCCGAGTGTAGTCTTTGCACTTGAGCTGGTAATAGAAACACTATGAGTCAGCACATATATAATACTGGTTTACTGGTAACAAATGGTCTTTTTTCTTTGCCAAACGATATAAATCCAAAAAAGAATTTATTACATCTAAATCATTAACCCTATAATCAATAAAAAATATGATTTAAGAAATGAAATTTTAAGAATGTAGAATGACTGTAAAGTACACAAAATGAAACATTGTTGAACTATATGGGTAAAGATAAAGAAACTTTAACATTGTAAAACTGTAGGTAAAGGTAAAGAACCTTTAACATTGTAAAACTGTAGGTAAAGGTAAAGAAACTTCAACATTGTAAAACTGTAGGTAAAGGTAAAGAAACTAACATTGTAAAACTGTAGGTAAAGGTAAAGAACCTTTAACATTGTAAAACTGTAGGTACAGGTAAAGAAACTTTAACATTGTAAATCTGTAGGTAAAGGTAAAGAAACTCAAACATTGTAAAACTGTAGGTACAGGTAAAGAAACTTTAACATTGTAAAACTGTAGGTAAAGATAAAGAAACTTAAACATCGTAAAACTGTAGGTAAAGAAACTTTAACATTGTAAAACTGTAGGTACAGGTAAAGAAACTTTAACATTGTAAAACTGTAGGTAAAAGTAAAGAACCTTTAACATTGTAAAACTGTAGGTACAGGTAAAGAAACTTTAACATTGTAAAACTGTAGGTAAAGGTAAAGAACCTTTAACAATGTAAAACTGTAGGTAAAGGTAAAGAACCTTTAACATTGTAAAACTGTAGGTAAAGGAAAAGAAACTCAAACATTGTAAAACTGTAGGTAAAGGTAAAGAACCTTGAACATTGTGGTAAAGAAACTGGAACATTGTGGTACAGAAACTTGAACATTGTGGTAAAGAAACTTGAACATTGTGGTACAGTACAGAAACTTGAACATTGTGGTAAAGAAGCTTGAACATTGTGGTACAGAAACTTGAACATTGTGGTACAGAAACTTGAACATTATTGTAAAGAAACTTGAACATTGTGGTACAGAAACTTGAACATTGTGGTGAAGAAACTTGAACTTTTGTAAAACATAGCAAATTTGGGATAAATATACTTTTGTTGAGAAGCTTGCACATTGTAGAAGAAGAATACCAAAGAAATAATAAAACTTTACATAATATTGACAGGTTCTACATACTTGAAGATTGTTTATGAGCTGGCTTTACATCAAAGGATTATTTTAAACCTGACTGCACTCTATAGCAGAGAAAACATGAACTGATGTCCAAGTTGTAGAAAAATCTTGATTGAAAGATTAGAGTCGTCTTTGTAGGCTTTTTAATACATGATGTCAAATTATTTTTGGAAAATAACCTCAAGGAGATTTTCACATGGATTAGTGTATTATCAGGCTGTTTAATAAGGAGGTGGCATACTGGCAGATAATGGAAGTTTGGAATGTTGGATATAAAGCTAGTAGTACCTTGTGGTCCATACCTGCAGGTATATCTGCAGTAACCAATTCTGAAAATTGGAATTATCCTCCACATATAGTTGATTGGGTTAATGAAGCAGTTAGGTAGAAACAATGTTTGAAACGTAAGTGTTTCTAGCTTGTGGAGAAAATGAATGAACAATACCTGTGTGTGTGTGTAATAGCTAGTGAGCTATAATAGTTAACATTGTGTAGATAATAGTACTGTACAGGGATGAGAGACTTTGATGTGTAGACTACTGAGTATTAGAGAGTAGTAGACAATGATTAAGTGATAAAAATGGCAGATGGTAGCACTGTATTGTGAAACACTAACTACTGCAGGATAATGTTAAACAAAAAACAAAATCAAAACAATGGGCGGAATATTTCCTAATTTTGTTTTTTGTTATAAGATAATTGGAGAAGTATTATACTCTACTTAAGTGGGTTGTTTCAAGTTTTTCTTCGTTTCTTGTGTTTGGTGAACACAGGCTGAGAATTGTATGTTAAACCTCAAGGAACAGGAAATTACGAAGAATTTATATCAATTCCTGGAAGCTACCAGGAGCTGGTATGCAGACTCCTACAAATATTTTATGGTTATAAGAAAGTAGATATTTGCTCTTTACTTTCCTTAAATTTTCAACACAAACTTTTGACATAATCATATCAAGACATCAATCATGGAAATAACAAATCTTGCCATTTTGTTGATTTATGTGAAACACAATTCTTTGAAGCTTACCGATTTACTTTTGATTTGATTTTGTTATCCAGTATTTTCTGTAATTGTTTAATGGTGTGCTGAGGCATGTAATAAAAGGCTTACTGAAGTGATCGCACATTTAACTTAATGTCTTACACTGACAGTTAAGTTGAAATCAAAGTCAATTCCTCAATCAGGTCTAATTCTGTTATCTAGTTTTGTACACAGCTATGATCTGGTTGTATAGAAATAGTAATAGAGTTAAGATAGAGGAACAGCTTTTGTAGAATAGAGATATCGGATAAAAATAGACTTTTCATTTCTGTATTAAGTGCATCTTCTTGTTCATTAATGTTTTTAATTAAAATAGAACACAAGCAAAGTTTATGAACCTATATCTGAGACCAGTTTTATTTTTTCAGTGATCCTTTTCTTAACTTACCTGTGAATTTCGTTTTAATGTTTTTCCTTTGCTTACCTGTGAATTGGTTAATTATGCTGAAAGGCATGACAATAACACAGACCAGTAAGTCTGTGACTGCCAGAGACAGCAGAAAATAGTTGGTGACACTTTGTAATCGTTTCTCCATGGAAATCGCCATACACACCAGTATGTTTCCTCCGATTCCAAACACAATAAGCGGGGATAGAAACAAAACGCCCCAATTGTATTCATTAGGTATTTCCATGCTCGAATTACTAGCATTTCCAAAGAATAATGATGAGTCGTTATAGGGTATATCCCAGGCACAGTTTTCCGGGGGGCAGGGCTCTGCACCCCACCCGCAGTTCGGGTCGCAGGGAGGAACTGATGTCCACAGGATCGTTGGGGAGACGGACACAATTGGAGAGGTGTCCACTGTCTCATTCTCCCGGGTAATCATTTAATCCTCCGGCCCACACTACCAATATCCATTAGAATTTGCACATCATCACACAACACAACTTTAAATAATCCACGGATAACTTTTCAACTTTCACTGGAAAAGAAAAAAAAAATGTTAGTTTTCAACTTACTATTTTTGAAGATTATACTGTACTTCCATTGATAAATCTGCCAGAAATTAAAAAATATGTTGTTTTTTTTGCCTGCATAACATACTTTTTTTGACAGATTTGACAGAGACATTTTTCCAATTAAGAAATCAGTATTGCAAGCCATAGGTACAAAAAAGGAATCTATGATTACCTGCGAGGGAGGAACTGTCATTTACCTGAATCTACACATAATTCCATTGTATTGTCGCTTGTGACAACTGGTCCTATTCACCTGAATCACAATGTCCCCGCCCGCACCCAATTGGACCTTTTGTATGGGAGGGTACTAGCAGCACATGTTACACTAGGAGAATCAGCACAGGTATGTGTGACCAGCCTCTATATTGCTGCCTGCTGTCTATAGCTGGGCCAGGGTATACACAGCTGTCTCCTCACAGCACAGCCAGCCTCTCTGGTGCTGTACAGTACTGTGTGGGCAGAGTCAAGGTGTTATAAGTAGCCCTACACCTGTCTAAACCTAGCACTGAAAACCTGTGGAAACTGGACCTCTACCTTTCACTCTCACTGTGGAAACTGAGCCTGCGTAATCACCCCGAATCCTTTCAGTATAACAGTTTTCACTGTATAAACGGCGATAATTTGCCTCTGTCTTATAATAGGTGTGTCAGCGCTAGTGATCTTGCAAAATATTGAATGTCAGTATTATAGCCATGTGTACGTTATAATTACGATATACACAACTATGGCATATTTCTTAAGCTCCGACACTGTGTACCTGTATGTGTTATAGAAATGTTCTACTTCAGGGCAGTGTTAAAAGCATGCAATCGCATTAAATACTGCAATTGACATGAGAATGTCATTTCCAATTTTGGATTTGATTTCTGTTTTGACAATTTCTTACTGAAGACTTCTGATCACCCCATAGACCTACAATTAAAGTCGTACTGATAGCTTAGTAAATTGGATAAGGTCTAATTGGCCGATGTCATGAATGTAATGTTCTGGTTTACACCCATGAAGTGTATAGCTGTCAGTTAAAATTATCAGAAGATTATTAATTGTAAAATAAATCTAGTAAAATATTTGTATTGGGTATTTATGTGGAAGTGTTTCGATCACGCTGGCATATTGAGTTTTGAACTGGTCGTAATTCTTCTGTAACTGGTAAATATATACAGGTTTGGATACTTTGCTCTTCCATCATATGTTTTAAAATTAATAAGATAGACTTATTCTGACGTATCAAGTAGGTCTGAAGTATCAAACATATGATAAAATAATGTATTGATTACCGATAGGTTCATTCATTGAACATTTTTAAAACTTGTTTTTGTTTCGTCTTGGTCAATCCTTTTCTATCGTCCACGCAGTGTTTGTCGCACTTGACTAATTAGTAACAGCCAAGGCTTCCAGCAACACTTAGCCAGCTGTTTACTGAGGATTGTCGAAATACGCCACTTTCAAACCTATGTTAATTTACACATCCAAATTGAATTGCAACTGAAACTTTTACTCGGTAAAAACAGTTTTAATTTGATTTTAAATATGTCACCTTTTGATGATTTCCGTTTGGTTTTGTTGTTACTGAGTGTTTTCTCCTAAAGGGTCCGGGTAGTATTTACTGTCTATATAATATTATTTTACGTGTATGATGGAACGCGTACCTATATTGTGATTGTCAAGCGTTACAGCATAACCGTTATTGTACGATAAAGGACAGTTAAATTAAAACGAATGCATCTCTTCATCTTATTTTAGTTTTAAATTCAGGCTAGTAAAATTGTTTATGACTATTTTACTACTGTTGTATATAAACTAGACTGATTAAACGAAGCGCTGAAGAGATATTGTTTCGGGAAATAGCAGAGTGAGGTTGGCAGTCTTCATCAAACTTTGATGAAGTCACAGCGCAGTTGGATTTTTGTAAATAATTGAACCTTCTTATTTAATTGAGACTTAACACCTATTTTTAGGATGATTATAGTTAAATACTTACATAAATTCTACCAATCCGTTAAGACTGGTTTCAGGTTAGTTGTTCACGTTCGTTAGTCTTTCAGGGTTTGGTATGGTGTATTTAGCCTGTGTTTGGCCACCTGGCTAGTAGGAAGCATCATATACCCGAGGAACATGCAGCAGTAAATATCTAGGCTGCAGTGAACTATTACGGGCTCCATAACTATGAGGGAGAGCAGTATTCTAATGATATGGATATCTTTGATGCCGCAAGTTTATACGAAACCATTAGAGACATTCGTCATTACGGAATTAAATCTCTGGGGGGATGCAAGATAAATGCAAATTATGAGGTGTAAACATTTAAAGATTTTTATTTTGATATGTCATTTAGCTATAAAGATTCAATAAAGTACTTAAGAATCATTCTATTTTTAGCTTTAAAACTTTAAATAAATCAAAAGATGGTTTTGAATGTATGTTATTGCCGGTGTTACAGTGGATGTTCATGTTTATTGCTGTGGTGTATAATTAGTGTAACATACAGATGCTAAAGATATGGTCCAGCCAGCTGCATGCTCACATTTTACTATCACAACAATATTTGAACCTGTGGTCAGTCACTGGTACCAGTGGAAGGCTACTAAATTCTGTCAGAATGGTTGGGCTACAATTATGGTTATATTTTTGCAATCGTTTCAATAAAGCAAATAACTTTCATGGTGTTGGACTTTTATTGCTCAAGTCCATATTTGGATGTATGTTTGGTGCCACTGTTTACTACTTGGAGGAGTCAGGGTCAGGGGTCATTTAATGGCCAGAGAGGTGTGACTGGTGGTAGCAGTTTTTAACTCATTCACCCCTGAAATTTCATAATGAACTATTCCAACCTTTGAATTTGAAGAGTTCAAATGTGTCTTCAGGGATGAAAGAGTTAAGGGTAACTGTTTCCTGCTTGGAGTATTCACGGTCAGAGCCAGGTCTTCTGATGGCTTGGGCTTGTATTTGTGAAACCGCTCTCGAGATCAAACTCCGATTCTGTTCTCAAGCCCTTTTTCTTGTTCCAGTGATAAATAAAAAACAAAACACATCTCCGTAAGGATTTGGGGGAAAATTTAAGAGAGTTTTAAACAAATATTGTTTTAAATGGTGTTTTTTTACTGTATCACATGATTTAGGTACGTTAAAAGAACGTTGCCATGAGCACAGAATGCATGTTTGAGCTCGAGAACACTCTCATGAATACGGGCCCAGATCTATTTGACTGGTGAAATAGCCTGCTATGACAGATGTGACAAGGATTGCAAAGTTGACCTTTAATCTGCACAGGATCAGCCTCTGAATCCCAGAACAGGATGTGAATCGGATGATTGTTTAGGGCATCACAAGTGGACATGCTATTAAGAAGTTTAGGTAAGGTCACAGTGTGATAGAAATGATGGATAAACACAGCCTTCAAGTTATGCCAGAGAATTTTTGAACTGGCTAAAACATCCAAAGTGTTGGTTTTGGAACAATATTATCATCCAATCTGCATGTAGTTGTTTGGTTTGAGTCTTATGTAACAAAACTCAAACATGACATTAGTTGACCACTGAGCCAAACAAGTCCATCTCTTCAAGTCTTTCGCCCCTGATATTTCATAATGAACTATTCCAACCTCTGAATCGGAAGAGTTCAAATGTGTCTTCAGGGGTGAATGAGTTTATCTATTGACAATTTCAATCTGTGTAGTTTGCAGTATTGATGATGGCCCTATAGTTGAAAATGTTGACACTGGTTACGAAACAGGACCAATGATAAGTACTTGATCATGCTAGTGCCATTTTGGTCACACAAGAGGGGACCAATGATAACCACTGTATATGGCTATCTTTCCGATATTTCTTGACAAGAAAATAAATTGGTGAATCTGGAAAAATATCATGACATCTATTTGACAAAATAATACAGTCAAATGCCAGAGTATTAGCTGTTCTCTGTAATAAACTAATTAACTTTGAATAAAAAGCAAGATTAAGGGATTTCTGCGTATTTTCGAAAAAAACAAAAATGATGTAAAATTGTGAGTTAATCTCCAAAAACAGGGAGCCATCCATGTGTTAGAATTAGTAATGATAGTTATTTGTAACGTCTGACCAGCTGTATTTCTGGACGAGGACGCACCAGTAATAGTTATTTGTAACGTCTGTCCAGCTGTATTTCTGGA